CAGAATAAAGCACTTCATCAGAAACCTAGAGTAGATATAGTTTTTTAAAAAATGGAGGACCTCAGTACAAAGATGGAAACCATGAATGCCCAACACAGGAAAAAAATGCAATCCATGAAATAGATTCAAACACATCCAGGAGTTAAAAAATTCTACTGAAAGTGTATGCAGCAGAATGAATCAAAGTGAGGGCAGAATATCAGATCTAGAGGACAGGAATGCACTTAGCAATCATGAAAAGAAAGTATTTCACAAAATTAGCAAAAGACCATGAAAAATGAATACAGCAGCTGCATGATGATTCAAAGGAGAACAATATAATATAGATTATCATCAACAAAATAGCAGGAGACATCAAAAATGAAAAACCTGCTCACAAATGTCAGGGCAGAAAACTTACCAAGCATAGAAAAATAATTTGACATAGAGTTAGGTGAGGCATATAGAACTCCAATTAACCATGACCAAAATAAATCTACATAAAGGCATAAAATGATGCCAGAAGGAAGGGATATAATAGTTCATAAATTTAGCATAAGAACAGAATATTAAAAGCTATAAGAAAAAATAAAATAAAAGCTATTAGAGAAAAAAATCACCTATAAAGAAAAGTCCATCAAAATCACAGCAGATTTTTCAACACTATCTGTTAACTCAAGGAGAGCTTGGAGTGAAGAATTTCAGTTCTTAAAAGAAAACAACCTCCAGCCCAGATGTATATACCCCACAAAATTATCCTTCAAATCAAGGGAGAAATAAAGCACTTTTATGACAAGAAACTGAACAAATTCATGACCACCAAACCAGTACTCTAAAATTTTCTGAAGGATATTCTAAAAATAAACAAGGAATATAACAACTCCATGAACACAAATAGAAAGAACCCACTAGTTATGGAAAGGTATTAAAGAGAACAGAAAGACATGGAACTAAAAACAAGAAAATAATATGAGGATAAGTCAATGCACATCAGTTAAAATCATCAATATAAATTATCTCAATTCATCAATCAAAAGAAACAGACTGGGAGAACAGATCAAGAAACAAGATCCACCAAGATGGTTGCATAGAAGAAACACTTTGAACTCAAAAAGAAATTCAGACTGAAAGTCAAAGGATGGAAAATAATACATTATATGAAGAGAAACTAGAGAGGGAGAGGAGAAAGGAAGGAATGGAAAAAAAAAAGAAAAATGGAAGTAAAGATTTTTGTAAATAAGGAGAGGTGTTAAAGGAGAGGAAGAAGAGGAAAAAGGAAGAATCAAGATATGTACATGTACAAGTTCCCTATGATGAATGTGATCATTATGTATATCTACAATGTACTAATAACATTAATTTTTTTAAAAAGAGATTCACCCCTCTTGTTCTTCAAACATAGAGCGTCATCTCGTAAGGCCAGAAAAAGCTGGTTCCAGCTGACTAAGACCACCTCTGGCCACAGGCTCCCATGCAGGCTCTAAGCCTGTTTGCTGTTGGCACCCACACTCAGCATGGGGCACCCCTCCTCCCAGTATTGCACCAACACACACACACACACACACACACACACACACACACGTACAGAACTGTAGTAAACAAAGACAAGGTTAATTTCACAAAAGACTAGCAAGTACAACAAACAAATGCATAGACACCAAGGCCCCGTACAGTGAATGCAAGTAGCTAGAAAGAAAAGCAAAGGCTGATTATTTCCTTCCTCAATCTCCACAGCAGAACCAGGAAACCACTGTCTGGCAGCTTGAGAAGAATCCTCTGATTCCCAGCTTAAGGGAGAGTGTGAGTGAAAGAAGGAGATGAAAAAGAGAGAAAGACTGTACCCAACATGAACCTTGCCTTGGTCTCCAGGACCTGATATTTAGTCCTGGCTGGCTACACCAAAATGTTACCCTACAGCTCCTAGAAACTGGCTCGCCAAATAAACTGTATCTAGCTTTGGCTTCCCGGCCTCTCTTTCTGGAGATGGATTCCAAGTTCTCATCTCACAAAAAGAATTGAGTGAAGTGAGCAAAAGAGCGACAACGTTTATTTTGAAAAGTAATAGTGAAAAATTAAGGAGACACTTGCTCTACAAAGTGAGACTGGGCTGAGTAAAAGTGGAAAAAACAAGATAACATATAACCTGGAGGGTACAGGGTGAGACATGGTGAGGAAAGTCACAATATCCCAAAGAATGAACTTTAAAGTGACAACTCAGGTCAAGAGTAAGAAAGGCTTACTGGAGAATAGGGATAGCTCCTGAGAGATAGAGAGGTCCTGAGTGGGTTACCATCGAGGTCCTTCTTTAGGGGTAATTTGTACAACAAAGTTAAAACATAGGTACAAGATGGGTCAAACTAGAACCAAACTATAAGATTACATGTCTAGCTGCTTATGTTGGTCTAATAGGGAAGCAAGTCATGCAGCAAGGGTGCATGTAAGAACAAAGGCATTGTGGGAAAGGGTGGGTCTGGATTCCCTGGCCACCCACTTGAGTGTGTGATGTGTATTTGGACTTAATGGAATGAGTGGAATGAATTGTAACACAGACTCAAGTTCTGCTTATCACATAGAGAAGTATGTGGCTCTGACCAGTGTGATTTTATTTGGGGACCTTGTCTCTTTTAGATGTACCTCTTGCTACAAGTTTGATGTCTTTTTCACTGACTAGTTTCAGCCTGGTCCTTCTCTGCCTGTACATTGGTTTCTATCTAACCTAGCTGCCTACAAAATTAGGACTGGCTTGGGAGAGCTTCCAAATCACTGACCGTCCAGAAGTTCCTGGATGGTGTGGCCTGCCCGATTCCATTCCCCTTCCCCCATGCTGGCTATGCCTCACATTCACGTGCTGTCCATCCTTTTTCATACATGTTAAATTGATTACCATGACAAACATGTACTATTTATGAAGCAACTTGTGCTGATTTATTCTAGCATTATGCACATAAATAAGTTTATCTCTTTCATTGTTCATTCTCATCCTGTCTGCCTGTCTGTCTCTCTCACATACACACAGGCACACACACACACACACACACACACACACACACACACAAACACATAATCACCCTCTAGCATACAGGCAAAAGTTATGATAGTGGGGGAAGCCATTGTTCTCTTCAGTGGCTTCTGTTTTCTTTAATAACTGGTCACCATTTGAGGGTGAAGTTTTGGAAAAAGGATTTCTTTCACATTTTTTACTAGTACACACTGGTTCTACAGGTTAATAGCTTTCACTGTGACAGATTCATATATGTATGTAACATACTTTGATCATATTCAGCACCCAGTACCCCTTGGCCTGTCCTCCCCCTAGGTTCACATCTGGGTGGGGTTCAATGCACAAGTTTTCATCACATCTACCTACTACCCTCCCTAAAGAGGAGACTTCAAGGTTTCAGCAAGATTAGCCTGAAAGCCTAAACTTTCTAAAATGTGCCTGTGATGCAGAGTAAAAATCAGCAAGCAAATATAATCAAATCTATAAAGAGTTTTCCTATCATCTCCCATGTGGCTGAATTTAGCAATACAGGAGAAAACCCGATGCTAAGACACCCTTTCCCCAAGACCTAACCCACTATGCCTCCTGCACTATATCTTACAGAGACCCGGGAAAACAATCCCCACAGGACTAACAAGGAAGTCATTGGTGTACCGCTTTTAGACCTCCTCTCACCCCTGCTGAAAACCAGGGCGCTAAAGGAGTTGTAGTTCTGTGATTATATTGAAAGGGGAGAGTGCTTGGCTTTATCTCCACCCCAAAGACAAGCCACAGGAAGGCAGTCCTGGCTGATGGAGGATGAGCACATGTAGGTAAAGATGGTATCTTGTTCCCAAACTGAACATGTACTGGCTAGTGTGCTCCTGAGTTTTACCTAGAAGACACACAACTGCTGTGCACCAGGATGGGTATGGTGACAGGGCTGGGACAGAAGGCGGGGCCACTGAGACGAAGATGTGGCCAAGAGCCTGGACAATCAGAGTAGGTTCACATGGCAGGTTTTATCTGAACTGTGTCTTGAAAGGTAAATCAAAATTTAACAGGTAGAAAAGGGAGAAAGGAGCAACAATAAGTGAAGAAAGGGGTCAGTGTGCTTACTGGAACATGCCAATTTTTTATTTATTAAGACACTTCTGAGGAAGGCACCAAAAGGACTGTGGTTGGCAGCATTCACTTAGTACAGAGTGACTAAGAGTCCACTGTGTGCTGGGGCTTCCCCTACATTCATGCCTGGAGAGTAAGACAAACAGACAATAACAAAACTGGCAACACGGTAGGGGTCATGACAAGCAAAGTCCTGAGAGCAGCCAGGAACGACATCCACCTAGCTTGAACAGCCTGAATTGCAGAAATTCAGATGAGAAATACTCAGTGCAACAAAGTGAAAGAAGTGACAGACTTAAAGCATGGGAAGAGGCAGAAGAGCCTAGCAGCTGCTGCATGTATCCCTCCTACACTGTGCCCAGGCATCATACAGCTTATTCTTGCAAGCATCTCTTAGTTTTTGCCTGAAGACATTTGGGTTTGTTTCTCACAAAACACAAACCAAGAACCAGGAAGGTAGCATCCTTAGGAATGGTCTTCAACCAACATAAGATTGAAGTCAGTGGTCACTTTCTTCAGGTCACTTGCCAATAGGTGGGACAAATCTGAAGACCGTCTTAGGCAAGGGACTCAGAGATGCCGAGTCCCAGCTGCCCTGGTGGAAACTTGTTCATCCACGTGCTCTGTACTGTTCCCTTCCCTTGAGGTCTCACTTCCCCCTTCTCTTACTGGCACTTTCCGGAATTGCCTCTCAAATCCACTCCTTGCCCTTACATCCTTGTCTCAGAGTCCGTGTGGGGTGGGGGTGGGGGACCCAAATATAGTAAATGGGGAAAAACCTTTCAGAACCATCAAATATGAAGCTATGAGATTTCTAGCTTGGGAGAAGCGGGCCCCATCAACAAAGCTAAAGGACTTCACTACACGAAGAGGGATCAGTTCAGGGAGAATAGGACGAGTACTGGAAACACTGAGCTCACGAGGCCTGGGGACTTTTTATTCCAAAACTCCCTCCATACATGGTTAGGGTTCTTCATTTTAGAAAAAAGTGAAAAGAAACTGAGCAGAAAAGGGACTACATGGGAGAAGAAACCAAGAGAGATGAATCCTTTTCCTAAAGGCTGATTACAGCATCTTTATTTGACCCAAGAGAATACAAATCCCTCGCGGTCTTTTCCAGCCGCTGTCTGTATTCTAGTTTCTCATAGTTGGAAGGACTCACTCCTCTAAAGCCATGCATGACCCCCCACCAGCAGCCAGCGATGGCTGCTGTGGAATCACTGTCCCCACCATGGAAAAAGGCGTGGTGGGCGAGCTCTTTCCATGAGTCCCCTGCAGCAAGGATGGCGTCATAGGCAATCATGGGGGCATCGTGTCCACTGCTGCCACCCCAGCCAGAGTAGCTCAGGGAGGTGTAGAACTGATCTCTCTCCTTTACATCAAAGGGCTGTGGGAAGACAGGCGCTGACTTGCCATCCAAAATCCCTCTAAGTCTCAGGTACTTTTCCCACTGATCTTGGAAGTAGGACCTACAAGAAAGAAAAATGTATAGTCAATTGAAAAATTAAAGCCAAAACCCATAAGGAAAAAGTACCAGGTAGCTGTGGGAAAAGAGAAAATTTCACAGTGACTTCAGCTTCTTAGAAGAGTATCATAAATTGAACACACAAAAATCAACATTAAATATAAATTCTATTCATTTAATAAATATTTACCAAGTGTATGCACAATGATCTGGTTGCTAACTCAAAAAACTATGTATCGGGGGGAACTACCCGCTCGGGCCCCCCCTCTTGTCCCTCTCTCTGGACAGGAGCTTTCTTTCTCTCAATAAATATATTCTGCTCAGGAAAAAAAAAAGAAACTATGTATCAAGTTAAAGGGTAGGAAATACAGGTTTAGTTTTCCTAGCTCTATCTTTCCAGGGCCAAGTTTAGCACCTCACAGCCAAGAATGACTTCAGCAGAACTCCTCTGGACCTTTTTATTTTGAGAAAGAGAATGTGAAACAAACTCACCAAAAGGAGAAGATGTGGCCTTGATGCTTATTATGTAAGTAGTGGGGAAAAAAAACCTATCCCTAAGGCATTTTAAGGGAGGATTTCAAAATACTGTTGGTTTTTTTGTGTGTGTGTGTTTTTTTTTCTTTTTTGTTTTGGCGGAACTAGGGATTGAACTCAGGCCCTTTCACTTGTCAGCAAGCACTTATTCTACTGAGTCATCTCCCCAGCCCCTCAAAATACTATTTGTGGGTCAAGACAATACTGGAAAAGTAAGTTCTACGGAAGTAGGAAATAACTGAGAAAGTTCATCTGGAAACACGACATAGCATGGCCACGAAATTATGGAAGGCTAGAGCACAACACAGGATCCCTAAACGGTAGGGAGGCACTGCAGCTGCACTACTCACTGGGCTCCTCTGGGTCACCTGGAGTAGCGAGGGCTGGAGCGAACCTGGAATCCTTAGCAGAGGGGCGAAGAACAGGCTGGGCGGTGAAACCCAAGTGGCTGCTGTGGTCTCTGAATCCACACACACATTCAGCACAGCCCAGCAGGGCAAGCATCTGCACACTCACCAGTGTTGAAGGTTCTCCTCCACAAAGTAGCCTGAGTGGACAACGTACTGTTGAGCCAACGGCAGTATCTCCATCAGTCCTTTTCCCCATTCCCAGGGTGATCTGCCATTCACTGCATAGGCTGTGAAAAGAGCAGACGCAAGGGCCCCCAGGTAACCTGTTGGGTGGTGGTGGGTCATCCGGCCACTCTCGATGCTCACTTGGATCAGGGTGTCCTGCTGGCTTAGGTGAGGAAACCTGAGACCAATGCACATGGCCCGCATGGCAGCCCCACAGCCACCTTCGTGTTTGTTAAAGGGAATCCTCCAGCCATTGGCCTTGTCTGGCTCCAGCCTCATGGTGTTGTACACTGAGGTCTCACCTGGGAAAGAGTCAGGTGGGGAAGGGTGGGAGTGAGGCATCAGTGTCACCAAAGCAGAAGCCCCTACTTGGAGAACTAAACTCTATCTCGATAGAAAGTCAAGGAAATATTGATTATAATGCCTGTAAACTCCAAACCTCCATCCAACACCATGCCTTCCTTCATGTATCATCCAAAGTATGATATTCATTTAAAGGAGAGAAGAGAGAGACATGGAATCTCTACCACTTATTTTAGAGATATCACAACAACTCAAAAAGGTACACATAATATATTATTCTTTTTCTTAAATGAATAAGATAAGGTTCACAGTCTATGAAACTTACTCAAGATCACATAACCAGCTAGTTAGTGGCTTGGTAAAAATAAGTGAGACTATAAAACCTAAATCCAAGCCATTTATGAGCCCGATAGGAAGCTGGCAATTGGAGTTCTTGGATATTAGAAAGAGGCTAAAGTCCAGAGCGAAGTCCTGGACTCAGGTGAAGAGCAGTGGACCTGGGCTATTCTTATGTGAACCCCATGAAGGCCTGGTACCAGGAGCTGTGAGTCCACACAGCATGCAGTGGAGGGTGCAGTATTGTTCGCTGATTGGGCTAGGTAATTCCTAACAACATCCATAGGCATAGGTAGAGAAAATGTCCTAGATTCCAAGCTGAGGAGATAACCTGAGAAAGAGATGGATAAGAAAGGATGGACAGAAATTGGCTTCCTTGAGGTTATGAGAGATCATGGGTATGGGGTTCTCATCATCAGGAGGTGTTCTGGAATGAACTGTATTCTCCCAACTTTCTATGTGGAAGCCCTAACCCCTGTACCTCAGACATGACCTCTTGGGAGGTTAGGAAGCTACACAAAGGCCTCACCCAATCTGACTAGTACCCTGCTGATATGAGGGCTGGGGACAGAAAGCCACCATGAACCCATGAATGTGTGCACATGCATGCCCGCAAGCCCAGTGATGACAGTGCTAGAAAGTGGCCACTTGTGTGCTAGGAAGACAGGCTTCAGAATAAACTAAGCCTGCTAACATGCTGACTTAGACTTCCTAAAAACCAGGGCCATGAGAAGATCAATGGCAATTGATTAAGCCATCCAGCTTATGATGTTTTTTGGTACGGTAACAGACTGACACAGCTGAAGAGGCTGGCCAAGTGGGCAGGGAAGGCTGACCTGAGGAACAGTAAGAACTTCGCAGTAGGCAAGAAGCACTTGCAAGCAGACCTAGGGCCAGACAAGGAGTAACTACCAGACCTTCTCCCGTCTGTCCTTCCTTCCTTCCTTCCTTCCTTCCTTCCTTCCTTCCTTCCTTCCTTCCTTCCTTCCCATTCTTTGTTTTTTGTTTTTGGTACTGGAGACTGAATTCAGGGCCTTTGTACTGAGATATATCTATAGGCTTTTTTAAAAAAAATTTATTTTGAGACAAAGTCTCACTAAATTGCTAAGTTGCCCAGGCTGGGTTTGTCTTGTGATCTTCCTGCCTCAGCCTCCTGGAGCGCTGGAGTTATAGGCTTTAGGTTGCTTCTATTTCTTTCACAACTACAAACAATACTGTTTCCTTGACATTTAAAGGTCCACCGCCATTCTTAACGATTTCCTTGGGCCTATTCACGCTCCACCTGCCTGACCTCCCCTGGCTGTGCTCACCTGGTGCCCGGCCAGCCATGTCTTCCATGCAGTCTTGGTAATGCTTAGCCAGAAGTGGGTACAGCTGAGCCAAGTGGGGGGCTTCCCCGGCTTGCACGAGGGCCTCTGCTGTGGCAAGGTGCATCACCGTGTCATCGCTGACTCGCCACTGCTCCACATCAATGGCGTCCAAGCCACCCAGCTCTGCTAGCTGCTGGTGTATCCTCTCCCCATCCTGCAGGAACTCCCACTTCCTATTGAAGAACCCCAAGGCATCTCCAGCTGCACTCAGCACCATGGCAGCCACATACCTCTCCACCAGGCCCCCACACATGCTGGGCTCCACAGGGGTGGTCTGGGGGCAGCTAAGAAAGAGGGAGGAAGAAGAATTAGAAAAAAAAAAAAAAAAGAAGAAGCAGAAGAGCACCATGTGCATCATACTGAGCACTCGCTACTCCTGTTAAGCATTGTACTTAGTGAATCTCATTTAATCCTCACAACTGCTCTATCACCAATGGATTATTAGGTCTATCGTATACAGAGCAAAATGAGGATCAGGAAGACAATGCAGTGTCAAAAATACACAGAGTAATGGGAAAATAGGTTGTTTAGATTTTTAAAATTTTATTACAACTAAAGGCATATTGCCATTAATCTTCCTCAAAATACAGCTTCTACCATACTTACCCCATTGTTCTTGCGCTTCCTCAAGCAGTTCTGGAAGTACTCTTTTGTGAATGTCTTTATGAGGTGTGATTAAAAAAATACAGTAACGCAGCTAACAAATGTTCTCCAATGGAAAGGCAGGCTTATAAAAACTGCAGGGTCATCTATCTTATTTGCTGGGTCTGGCACCATGTAACTTCCGGCTCTCTCCCAAAGGCAAAATGACCACTAAAGGTAAACATTTTAAATCAGTTCAGAACATCTAGGCAACCACGACTGCACAACAAAAGACATTCACAAAAGAGGACTTTCAGAACTGCTTCAGAAAGTGGCAAAAATGGTGGAGAATAATAATGGAGTAAACACGTTGGGGAAGGATATTTTGAGGGGTATTAATGACAATGTGTCTTTCACTGTATTGCATTTTCAATCACATCTTAAGACACAGAGTTCACAAGTAGTAGAGCAGGAGTCCAACCTAAGTCTACTGGACTCCAAAGGCCATGACTGTAAGCATGTCCTTGTCTTTGCCTTTCAGTATGTGGCAAACCCATTAAATTCTACAAATCAATCCAAACACATCAGTTCTCTGTAGCTGAAGTTTGGCCTTGGAAGTGCACCCCTCTGTTGTGTCCATAGTAAAGCTTCCTACTGGTCATCGCAATGCAGTCTACAAAGCACCTGCATATCCCTTGCTGTCAGGGGCAGGGCCTACAGTATGCATTTCATAAATAAAGAAGTGCAGGAACACACTATGTTCACAAAACCAGAGTGAAGGCCTTAGGATCTGAATCTTGATTCCCAGGCCAGAGTGTTTGGCGTTACTCCACTTGGCCTCAGCTTTTGGGCAATCTCTTAGTTCCTCAGCCTCCAACCTATAAAATGGTGATGATGCCCTCTTTTTTTTTTTTTTTTCTTTCTTTTTCTTTTTTTGTCTTTTTGCAGCATTTGGGCTTGAACCCAGGACCTTATGCATACTAGGCAAGTGCTCAAAATGAGTAGTTATGAGACATAAATAAATTAATTTTCATAAAACACAATAGTGCAGGTATACAGTGAGGACTATTTTTGTAATGACTTTTATTATCCGTATACAATCAGGGCAAATGGTCTATTATTGAACTAGAATACTTTCTCCCCACATCCTTCCCTTCAACTGTAACATTTAGAGCTGCCTTTTCTTTTAAACAATAGAGCTCTAGAGTATAGTGATCTTGGCCAATACATCAACCTGGAATTAATTCCCTGGTAAAGTATTGGCTTCCCAAGATCCTCTCCTTCTCCAGTTCCCCAGTGTGCCTTATTCCTTGAGGTTTCAGACCCTCTACTCACACTTGCAAAGACAGAGGAACAGCTTACTCTACCCTCAGCTCAAGTTCTCTCCCAAACAACTGCCCTCCCCTGCCCTCTCGCCTTAGCCCTCCTTTCTCAGGGTTGGTGCCTTCTAGGGCTTCCAGAGTCTTTCTCCAGCTGGACTACTCTCAGCCCACAGCCTGGCAAGCTCTACCAGCAACCCTCGAAGATGGACTCTGCATTCCACCACCCAGGTGCTGATCATGCCCAGTTTAAGGACACAGGTACAACATTATTCAGCAACTGCCTCTCCACACTAGGCCACCTCTACACCTGACTGCCACACAATATAGTCGTGTGACAATAAAGGGGCCACCCATACTAGAGCTCTATTTTCCTACTGGCCAACTGACTAGCAGAGGGGGAAGTGCAGGTTCTCCTTAGATCCTGTCTGGGCTGAGATTTTTTTTTATTTTTTATTTATTTTTTTAAAAATTTATTTATTTGTGTGTGTGTGTGTGTGTGGCCAGCTCAGCCCACCTAGGGGCGGGGCTAGCTGCATGTGGTGCTGAGGGATTCAACCGCGGTCCCTGTGCTTTGCTAAGCTTGTTCTAAGTAGGTGCTTTAGACCACTGAGCCATCTCACCAGCCCTGAGATTTTTTTTAATATTTATATTTTGTTTTATTGAGAAACAAATATCAATGAGACATTTTCAAAGTTGATTAATATGACATTTTCAATAATTAATACATTGTACATTGTTATCTTCTTAGTGGTTATCCACAGCACAAGAAGCAGACAGGATATTCCGTCCAAACACTATTACTGCAAATCTTTCTTCTTCTCACTGAATTAAGCAAAAGTAGCTGTATATCTATCCCAACTATTCTGTATATGCAAATACAAAATGATCCTTCTTTTGTATCCCTCTTTTTTGTTTAGTCCTGTCAGAGATGGGTATTCTATTGGCATCTAAATACTATAGGTGCTTGAATTCAGCAAAATAATCCAACACAGTCCAGCAGTCCACAATAGTAGTGGGTTATCCACAGAAGTTGTTGACTAGAGCCTTTTACAGCTCAGCATATTAACATGGCTTTACTTTATACACCCCGTTTTTACACTTTTCTACTGGATGGTTAAGACCAAGATAAAGCAAGACCTATATAACAAGAAATGTAACTTTTGTATCTGATAAGGTCAGTCATACCCCCTCAGGTTATCCTGTAACCCTGTACCACACTTTATAGATCCTTTGTCAGTGTCAGCTATGTGGATGAGTCACGGCCATTGCTTGACCAATTTGCTCTCTATGAAAGCTGGAGAAAAAGTTTTCTCTCCATGTGACTCTCCTTAGGCACACTATACATCATCTATCACATTCCTCTGTGGCTCCATAATCTCCTTGATTAGAAAATTTGGGTCACAACTGAGTTACATGATGCTACAGTTCAGGTTCTCCATGTCCTCAGTCTTCACTGACCTTGAAAGGCTAGGGCCAAAATTTGGAGAAAAAGAAGGGCTGCAAGGTCAGCAAATATTTTGGCCCTGGGCTGAGATTTGCAGAGCCCAAAATTAGCTGGCCTCTGAGGGGGTTAATTGTTGCTACCTCCCAAACACACACACACACACACACACACACACACACACACACACACACACGGCTTCCTCTCTGGCTGCATCTCAGTGCAGTGCGGGGGCCCAGCTGCCAGACAGACATCGCCTGTGGGCACGATGACCCGAGTGCACACGGACTGGAAGCGAGAGTCCCAAGTGTGAACACCCAGCTCCATGGACCGAAGCGACGACCTGCATCTTATGCTGGTTCTGAGAGCAAATCAGATGGTGTAAAATGTGCTTTTGTGAGTTTGTAAGTTGGGTACAGGAAAAGAACAAGCGTGTTTTTGTTTCTGTTTTTGCACACAAATTTTGTTTCACACACATCCTTCGTGTTCTAGCCCTCCCTTCCTCAGCTATTATGCCTTAAACTTGGCTAAAGTTTCATATATCACTACTCCCCCGCCCACCCCCGGTACTGGAAATTGAACCCAAGGTTTTCTTATTGACCTACATCCCTGTTCCTCTTAATTCTTTAATTAAAAAAAAATTAAAATTTTGGGACCGGGTCTCCCTAAATCGCCGAATTGCCCTGGCTAGACTTGAACTTAAGGTCCGAAGAAGGCAGGCATGCATAGCCACCGGCGGTTGTAAACAAACCCTCCATCTGACACGCCATGGGCCGCAGCTGCCCTGGAAAATCCTGACGGCCAGGACACTCCGGGCGCGGGGGCCGAGGAGGCTCGAGCGGTGAGAGCAGAGCTGCCCTGGCGCCGGGGAAGGTTACCTGCTCTGCGCAGAGAGGACGACAGCGCGGGCCGGGGTGGAGCGGCGGCGTCCAGGCGCGGAGGAGCGCGCACTGGCGGCGCGAGGCGGGACAGGCTCCGGACCTCCGCCCGAGTCTGCCGGCCGCGCCACGCCCTTGGGTGAGCAGGCGGGGCCCAGCTGCCGCACAGACCTCGCCTGTGACCACCGTGACCCGGGTGCGCCCGGGTCGGAAGCGAGAGCCCCGGGTGTGAGCGTCCCGCCCGGTGGAACAGAACGAGGGCCTGCGTCTTAGGGTGGTTCTGAGAGCAAATTAGTTGATGTAACTGTTGTCTGCTTGGCAGCCCTTTGGGATTTTCTTTGCAGCAGTGTCAACGGCAAAAATAGAAAATTTGGAGAAGTGTCGGTTTCCTTCCCCTCGGCTTTAACTATGAGAGGGTTGAAAGCCTGGTAGTAGACATCGACATTCTCACACGGAGCCTGGAGGCGTTTTACCAAGAAAAGTAAAAGTTTAGAATGATGAATGTCATTTAGATGATGAATATATAGATATAGTTTTGTGTTTATGGAATTAGCATTCTCTGCATATGTGTGTGTAAACTGGTAGACGGGCAAACACCACCTTGTTCGTGATTATGATTACCTCATAGGATGGAAGCACAAGCGTTTGCTGGAATAGAGAGAAATAAAGAAATATCGGATCGTTTATAGTGTTTTCTATATTATCTGCATAAAAAAAACTTTAGAAAACACAGAAAGCAGCTGCAGTCTATCACCAGCTTCAAGGGCCTACAGTCCTATGTACATGTTTGCTGGAGGGCAAAAACGAGGGTAATTCTGCAAATATATTTTTATATTCTTTCGAAAAACTACTTTACTTAGCTTTATCAATTACTATAGTTAACTCCGAATGTTCAGATAAGCTAATATTTTTAGAATGAACGCTATTCCAGTTTGATACAAAAGTGTAGGAGGCCCTGATGCTCAATTGCTTTCTTGCTACACCATGAACACAATTCTTTGAAAAGAGGTAAAACACGAGCACAGAGAGCTAAAAACCCAGGTAATTAAAATCGGAGAACCTTTGAGCTTCACAGGCCTGAGTGCCTGACATCAGGGCTGCAGAGTGAGAACTAAAAAAAGAGCAGGTTGGTGGAGAAACAGGAAACAGTTAATAGGCAGGGCCCCTCAGCCTCCAGCCCGAGACCAGAGTAGCAACAAAATAACAAGGTTCGAGGAAAAACCTATCATAGATAGGACTTTTATATGAATTTGTTAAAATGAATGAAGGTGGGGGAAAAAGGAAGAAAACAGGACACCCAAATCCAGAGATTATTCAAAGACGCCAAGAACATCTGGATGGCTGATTCTAGACATCGCTTTGGCTGGGTCACAGTATCCAGATGTTAGTTCAGATGGTATAGCAGATTGTCTTTGAAAATATTTTAAAAATGAAATTACCATTTACATGAGTAGACTTTTGTGTAGAGCAGGTTGCCCTCTGCAGTGTGCTGAGCCCTCATTCAGTCAATTGGGAGCTTCAGTTAAAAAGATGAGTATGCCCAGCAAAGAGGGAATTCAGCCATCCCTGGGTCTCAGGCTGCCGGCCGGCCTTGCACAATCTGAACTTGGCAGCCTCCATACTTGTGCAAGCCAATTCCTTAATGAGGCCCCACCCCTAGCATCAAGGTGCTCAGAGAAAATTATAATTGAGCTGGTTTTTGAAGATTATTAGGAAAGGAAACTAAAATTGCCAGAGCACAGAAGTAACCCCGGAGCTGATATGCAGGAGTAGCAGTTACTAGCAAATTTCGGTTGGCATTTTCTCCTTGAATGATATTCAGCTGAGGGTTGGGTTGAGTTTCAAGAGTACATCTCATTTTCTTTCTCACTGAGTCATCCCCAACCATCTGTAAAGACAGATTTTAAAAACTGAAAAAAGGACCAAAAGATTGGCTCAACAGAGAAAATGAGACACTAGCTCTAAGTTCACTTTCGAAAACCATACAATACATATTGCATAGGCTGTCACTCTCTCCTGAGGAAACTGAGGCCAGTACAGTGTGTTCCTTAGAGTTTGTGTAGCTCAGCTACATACAGAGAAGCTGACCTGAAACCATGTTCCCAGACAGGATTTCTTACACTCCCCAAACTGCCACCTTGAAAACATACCAAATAATTTGTGGATTAAATGTATATTTCATTAAAGATGTGAAGCCTGATTTTTAAAGTATCCTGTGTCTCCCTGAAAGACTTAAACCTTTGCCTGGTGACTGTGTGAAAGCAATATTTATAGAAAAATCTCAGATAGGCACTGTAATCCTAATAGGTAGTAATCAAAAGAGAGGCACTTTATGGAGAGGCACAGAACTCCATGGGTATAAACTGGTGTTTGAGAAGCTAGGAGTGGCTACTGCCCTTCTATAGAGACCTAGAGGCAGTCTGTCTCTCCCGCTCCTCCCCCAGGGCAGTAGTCGGACTGAGTAGATCAGGCCTTCCCTTCTTCCATGTAGAATTGAAGTCTTTGATTCACTTCCAACCAATGGTCTTGACTCCATCCTGGTTTTGCTTGGATTTTTCACAAGGAGAAAAGCTCAGAGGGCTCCCTCTGACCCTCTGGGCTTAGGAAAGACCTCAGGCGCTCCAATCCACAGACCTAAACCAAAAGGCTTCACTCTACACACTAGGCTTGCAGTGGATGGAAATAATACCACATTGAGGAAATGAAAAGTACTTTTCCAGTCAAATAATGTGGAGAGCCTTGTTGGAGTTATCTCTGCCCACAGTCCCTCCAGTGCAGTCAGCCTGGGATGACCTATTTGAATCAGTTCTCATTTCTGTTTCCAGAAGAGTCTTGGGGACAAGGCATAGAAAATAGACCCAAAGGACACTTAGTTGATCTTGACTTCCCAGCCAACTCCTTCTCCCTTGGAGATGTCAGTGACCATGCTGTGGTCTCTGCTACACCTTCCTAAATTTGCTCTTTGGGGAGAGTCCCTGAAGCTTAGTGTGGTATCTAAACACAGGATGACCAGTGATGGGTAGCAGCAGCAGGTCAGGCAAGTTTCCTGGTGGTGTCTGGACCACAGGAGGAGTCACTCAGCTTCCTCTAAATGGCCATGGAAAATTCAATTTAAGGCTCAGGAGACACTGAATGTGAGCAAGAGTGGAGAAGGCTTTCAGCTCCAGCAGTTCCCTCATGGCGTAGTAGTGGTGGACAGGGGACCTTCTACAAAGCCTTCACACGGTCAGCTTCTTTCTCGTATTCAAGCAGTTTCTAGATGTGTTCATGCAAGCTATGCTTTAAATGTTGCCCTTTCTAGGAAGAGCTGGAGAAGCAGAAATTCTCTTCCCCTTCAAGCCATACCATTTCTCTTTAGTTCAATGAAAAGAATTAAATTCTCCTTTTCTTGAAACCTAGAAACAGTGACCTTTTGTTAAAGATAGTTGTTTTGCAGGTTAGAAACTAATGGTAACTGTCTGATTTATTTTTCAGAAAAAAATGCATGAGAAGGAAGGAGGGGAGAAGGACAAGGGAGGTATACAGTTGGAAAGGAAAGAGGAAAAAGTTGTGTGACACTTCTAATGCTTTAAGAAAAGAAGAGACACTGGGCTGGGAGTGTAAGGGCATTTGCCCTAAGTCAAAGGGCATTTGCCTAGCATGCTTGAAGGCTGGGGTTGTTTCCCCTCTAGTGTGAGGATGGGGGAGATATTGAGATAGGGAAGAAACTTCGTTTTCAGAATGGATCCATAGCTTCGTGAATCTGAACAGCAGGTCACAGACTGAGGTTGAATCTCCAAGAGGCCGTGCCCAGGACACAGTCACCTGTACCCATCTTGCCTGTTCCATTAAGCCTTGAAAGCATGAAGAAAGCCCTGACTTTCTCCTACCTTCTGATAATTGTCTTCTCTGTTTCTCAGTGCAAATGAAATAGAAAATGGAAAAGAATGACTTTTGTAGCTTTGTCCACTTTTGTAGATGGAGGTTGGGGGGAGGCAGCCAGTGGCTGTCATCACTCTTGGTACCTCAAGTCCGGGTATCATGGTTTGCCAGGGCTCCAGGGCAGGCAGGAAGTCCCTGTTCTTATAGATGTATGATCTTTTCTTTTTCTTTCTTTTTTTTTTTTTTTTTTCCTCTCCTCTCTTGTTAAGGTGTAGAACACCCTTAATCCCAGCAGTGGATCAAGAATCAATCAGTCTCTAGATTCAGCTGCCTCCAAAAGTCCTGTCCCCATGGCCACATGAGGCCACGGATAGGGAAACATCTGGTTACAAACCATAACTGCATGTTTTTTGTTACTGTCTGTTGCTTTTCTCTGGAGCCATTTCTACGTTTAGTTTGAAACTGGATGTAATATTTCAATATGAATCTAGGTTCAGAATATTTCTAAATATTATTTAGAAATAATCCACACAGAGTCATATATCCACCTCAAAATGTCTTGCTGGTGTTTTACTACAAATTACTATTTGGCTAGTTGCCCAGAACTTTTTCTGCTGTTGCTCGTTTCTTTTACTTTAGATCAGTCACTTAGTCTCGTCTCTCCTCTAGTCTTCTTTGCATCCCTAGTGCTAAGCGCTGCTCTGGGCACACAGAAGCACTCAGTAAATTTGGGCTGAGTGTAGTGGCACGTATGTTAAAAGCTCAGAGTTCAGAGCAGGCAGATAAGAAGTAGAAGAATCTGGGAAAGCTGTTTCAGGGAGTGGTGGCCCTAGGTCTGATCCCTTAAGGAAGATGAAGGTGTGATGGAAGAAAGGAGAAAGGACATCTAAGCAGCTCAGTATGTCAAGATTTGTGGCAAGAACAGGCAAGGTCAACTCTAAGAGGGGGATCGAGTGCCAGGCCATATAAAGAGAATCCTCAGTTGGAACAGGGTTAGCTCTGAATGTCCACTTCTCTTTTCATTTTAAGAATTTCGGTGATTTCCATTTCATAAAACCAGAAAGTGTGTGGCAGTACTGTGAGAGAAGAAAGGAGTGACCAGTCCTCTCTGCCTTCTTGTCCAGTGTGGCACTACCAAAAAGCACTGTGGCCTTAAAGCAGAGCCACTTGGCTCTGGGTGTGAGCCTCACAGATATGTGGACTAAAAGGGAACATTTCCACGTGCCTGGAATCCCAGCCTTCTAGGAGGCAGGGGGAGGAGGGTTGCAAATTGGAACGCAGCCTGGGCAATGCAGTGAAACTCTAGGGACAGTGCAGCCCAGTGTGAAAGCCCTGGGTTCAATCTCCAGGACTGCAAAGGTGCAGGGCTCAATCTCCTCCGAGGGGCTGTAGAGCACTGGCCGTGTCCCTGGGTTTTGCCTGG